TTGGTTCTTTTGAGTCAAGCCATTCAAGGCACTCTGTTTCTTCTCTCCATAGATTTGATTCAATCGACTTCAAATTGTTATAATCTGGTGGAATCTGACTAACCTGTAGTTGAAGGGGTCCAATGCAGTAAATAGGTGGTAGCAAAGTCGAAAGTGCATCCAGAACTTCAAGCTCTAAGGCGTCAAATGTGTTGAAAATGATTGCTGAAGCTTTCTGGGCTCGTTCGAACTCACTCACAAGATATTTCAGCATGATGTCATTTGGATCTGTGGTTCTGACGAAGGTTGGCAAGTCCCTCAAACGAATATGTCTCATGCCTGGTATCCAATCTATTACAGTATCTAAATACCCATTTGTCATATAGCTGGCATCTGCAAATCAAATAGGTCTACTGAGTCAAACATTCTAACCAAAAAAGTAACAATTTTATTATGTAGTGTCCCCAAATGACCAGTGAGCAATTTGAAGTAAATTCCTCTTTTTTTTTAATTGATTATTTTTGAAGATTGAAATATTCTTTTATTAGACAAATGCGTACGATGTTAGATTGAATATATACTATACAAGAGTCAACTTGATTACTATTCAGATTCACATTCTAATAACATAAATATTGTTTGACAAGTGAAGGTTTTTGTCAGTATAATAATACCTTTAAGAGGAATTAAACCCTTTTCCATCAGAGGGAGATACTGAAGGTAACCCAACGAGCCACAAGCACTCATTGTTTCGAAAAGAACACAGGGAATGCCAAATTCTTGGGCTGCATCAAGTGAGAATGTCATGCCACCATCAGAAACTAAGCAAGTAACCGGAGGGGAATGGGGTAAAGAATTAAGCTTTGATAAAAGGTCTCCGAAGGGTGCTAAGCAATTTTTACTAGTGGAAAGGCATAGGGATGGGATGTCTTGGGTGGCGTTGTCATCAGATGGAGGGAGGCCATCAGGAATGGTCTCGAATTGAAAGGAGGGGAGGCCGTCGAGAGAGTTGGGACCTCGAGATTTAAGGAGGCGTTTGTGGTTGAACTCTGTGTTCACAAAGGTTATATGAAAACCTTTGTAGTGGAGGAGCTTAGCTAATTTCAGCATTGGGGTTATGTGACCTTGAGCTGGGTAGGGTATGCAAACTGCATGTGGCTTCTTTGTCAACGCAACAGAACCCATTCTCTCGTTTCTCTCAAATCACACACAAAACCTGTGGAAAATAGGATATGCTATGGTGAAGAGAGTACCAGCAGTTTTATAGCAGTGACATACAATGTCAATAATTGATGGTGAATCACGGACTGGACATGTACATTATCAACTTTGCCACATTTTTAAATCATGACCATTCCTTTTATTTCTATTCCGCAACAATCATTCACAGATAACGATCAATTCTTATGTTCCTAATCTAGAATGCGAGAAACGTGTGAAACAGAATATGTTCAAGTCTGGGCAAGCTAATAAACATGCATGGGCGAAAGAATCTACGCGAAACCTAGCGGACAATATAAGGCATAGTTGTAAAAACTAAGGAGAATATAGTAAATTAACAAATTTTCATATTAAAAAATTTTTAAAATCAAAATCAAAGTAAAAACACGGTCCTATTTTCACGAGACACAAAAACCAAACTCATTTTCTCTTTCTTAATTTTAAAGTTAAAAAAAAAAAAAAACCAATTGGCAACTAGTGTATCTGCTAAGTAAGATATGAGGAACAATACGGCTTTTTATAAATTCAGCCAGAGAACTCCTGATGTGTTTACTAATCAGGAATTGAATTCCACTTATAGAGGATTCATGCGTTTACTTCATATCGAGAAATTGAAAAGTAAGTGGGGCCCACATGAAATTAGGAATTGAATTCATGATTTTGGAGGAATTCAATTCTTGGATGGGACGTAGTATTCTAATTTTTGGAGAATTAACCCATTAAGAATTCATCTTTTTTACCCATTATATCCTCACACAAATTTTAAAATTTCAAATTTTTCATCTACTTTAACCCAACAACGAGGACACTTTAGTAATTAGAACTACTCATACCCAAATTCCATATGGTTTAGTAAACAACTTCAATAGGAATCCAGAATTTAACTTACCTCAATCCATGTGATTTAGTAAACAATTTCAATAAGAATCCGGAATCTAATTCTCCCCAATCCAACTCTTCCTCAATTCAATTCCTCCTAATCCAATTACGGATTAGTAAACATGTCATCTGTTACTTGTTTGGCCTGATGTCTGTTATGCATTATAAGTTGGGCTGAGTCCTTTTGGGCTTTCTGTCTTTGGGTTTGCCTTGTATGTTGCAGCCATGGGACTTCTTTTTTTTTTTTTTTTTTTTTGTGCTTAATATATTTTTGTTGTACCCCACCACCAAAAAAAAAAAAAACAAAACAAAAAACAAAAAAAAAGGGGAGAAAAAAAAGGTGGTACCAGCACCGATCGAGCTTTCATGAGAGCACATGTATTCATAGTGCAATTACAGGGAGAGCACGTCACCTTAGCCAACTTGCATATTAATCCAAAAACCTGCCAAGGACCATGGTATGCATGCAGTATTACCACTGACACCACAGATATGTGATTTCTAATGTCATGGTATGTTTCATACAGCAGATGGATAGGGCTTTAAATTACAAATCAGATCTTCCAAATCTTGGCAAAAATTGACCTATTTCATCGCATCAGCTCCCAAGAAAATGCCAGTCCTTGAGCCATATTAGGCATCCATTTCTATTTGTCCTGCTAAATATTGAAAAGCCGACATGGAGTGGACCACCTAAGAGCAAACAAATCCTTTAAGGGTCGGTCCATTTGGATGGGGTGATTTCAAATTCCGGGAGTTTGAAGAAATTATAAGGTTAAATTTTTTATTTATTTAGATTATTACGATATATGTATACTAAAATTTGAATAAGAATGAAATGACGAAAACAAATGAATTATTGCACATAAAGTCATTTGAAACTCATTCCAAATATACTACATTTACGGCTAGTTATCTCAAACACATTCGATCTAATATTTTCTTTCTACTACTTCCATCCAAACGGAGCCAGATTTCGGGCCTTTTAAACGCACTACAACAGGAAGCATGACATGGAAGCCCATTACGTGCAGCAAGTATGTCAAGTAGTTGGCAGTGAAAGATGACCGGAGAACGCATGAGGAGGATTATGGCAAGCGTTGGATTTGCATTTGTGGTTCAGATTTCAAGCATATCACTACAAAAAGTAAGTGGAAGATGCTGACAAATAGATGGAGAAATCCCCAATGCTGTCTATAATTATTGTTAGGTTTGAATAATTCTCATGATAACAAAAAATGTGAATACACGTGTGCCAGAAAACAAAGACAAGGGCTGCATGGAAATTATTATTATATTTTGGTCGAAAGATGGAAATTATTAGAAAAATACAATAAGTGCTCGTCACGCACCAGACAAGTGGGCCTTTGCGTGAGACTCCTCCAACATGCCCTTTGGAGGAGAGAGAGGTTAAAATTTGTTTGAGTTGTTCTTCTTTTTTTCCATTTATCAACATGACTTTCTACTTATAATTGAATTTTGAAGTGAGAATTAGTGCTAAAAACATGGAATTAATTAGTGAGGTCTGAAAGAGAAAAGTGGACTCAGTTTGTATTTTAGTAAATATATGGAAGAAAACTCCATTTAGATCCAAAACTTGAATTGGAAAATTTTGATTTTATTTCCTGATACCATTTTTGGAAAAATTCTACGCGTCTCAATTATACAACCAGCCAAATTAAGCTAACACAAACGGTTTGATTGAGTTTTTACACTAAAAAAGTTAATCTTAAACCGAACTGAACCAAATAGTAATTATTCATGAAAACTACATAAACCGAATCAAACTACCTATATTAATCTTTGTTTTTTTTAACACTTAACATTTTCTGCATTGGTCATTATCACTATCTCATGTGTTTGTTTCATTGCATAATGCACCTCCTTTTTATTATTAAACTTCTCCGTCTTCAATGGTAAAATGCTTGCTTAATTATTGTTTATGCCACTAGTTTAAGATCTAAATCAAACATGATATTATATTATAGTTCGGATAATGATCAAAACCAAAGGTGATAATATATTAAATTGGCGTGATGTTCTAGGTGTAAACTAAGGTAAAACCAAACAAGGCGGATCCCTACAAAGCGCCGCTGATTGCATTGCATGCATAAGATTGTGATGCAACACCGGAGTCTGGAGAGCCATGAATTCAATGCAATGTGCATTGGCTGTTGGACTAATTCGTAATAAACATTAGATATTAACTGATGGTCTGACGAAGCCGTTCATCTGCAATGAATATACATTTGTGCGTAAAGCCATATTATATTATTAGACAACTATATATATATATATATATTTTTCTGCAATGAATTTAAGCTCAGTCTCAGTGGAAACTATTATATTAAACTATTAATTTCCTACCTCCAAATTTTAAGATGTTGCATATGACAACATTGAATATCATATATTTTAACTAGGTTAGAAGTTATGTGTTCTAATCTATTCTAGGGTTTACTTAAGAATGAATTATAATTTGTTGACTTTGTTGAAATTAATTAGGTCTTTGATTTTTGGAATTTTGTTGAGATGTTTGATTTGTTGTTGGTATGTTAATATTTTATTAAAGGCATTGATGCTATTATGAGAATTTATTTGGTTTTTTGTTGGGATGTTGGATTAAATAGGTTATCTTTTGTTATGTCGGATCACAATATGAATCCCCAAAAAACAAAGAATTTGTTGGAAATTTTTTTTAAGAAAAAGAATAGGTTTTTTTTTTGGGCTGAACTTTTATTTATATATAGAAATGCATTTGAGAGTGAGGCTCATTACGTCCCCCTACTAGGTGTATATTTTTATGTTTTTCAATGAGATTCACTCATAATGTCAGGTTTTTAATGTAAATTTCGCCCAACCGAATTTCGAATCCTGAATCCACCATTAATCTCACCCACTATACACACATGAAACTGCAAATTAAAAACATAAATAGTACCCTTTATTTAGATTAATAGGCAATTGAATTTCTCAAAAGCCTGTACATATTTTATTTTTTTATCAGGAACTGGATGATCCAAATACAGATTAAATCACCAAAAAGAAAAAAAAGAACAAGATGGAATTGAATCAATTCTAATCTCTTGGGGAAAGAAGCACTTTGCTAACCACATTTTCCAGAGCCAAGTAAGACGACCCTTTTGGGGCAGTGGCCTCCTCTGCCAACTTCTTCCATTCAAGGGCTTTCTTCCTCATCTTTTTGCCCTCTTCTCCATCCATCAATGTCCTCACAAGACCGTCAATGTAATCTCTTTTAACTTCCCCGTCTATCTCAATGCCTATGCCCCACTGTGTGCAGCTGTATCTAACATTTGTTTGCTGCTCTGCAAAGAAAGGCCAGCAGATGAGAGGCACTCCGCCGCACAAGGCCTCAAGGGTAGAGTTCCAGCCACTGTGAGTCAAGAACCCTCCAATGGCTGAGTGGAGCAGAACCTGTTCTTGAGGGCACCAACTTGCCAACATACCCCTCTCTTTGGTCTCCTCCAAAAACTCAGGCGGCACCACAGCGGTTTCTCCAGCAACAAGGCCAGGCCTGATGATCCACAAAAATGGCTTCTTGCTATTTGCAAGTCCCCAAGAAAACTCAACCAGCTGCTCATTTGTCATGACTGTGGTGCTTCCAAAGTTGACATAAACCACAGAGTTGGGCTCTTTCGTGTCCAGCCAGTTAAGGCACTCTGTATTCTCTGCCCACAGGTTCGATCCGATCGCCTTCAAATCATTGTATTCCGATGGAATCTCGCTGTATGGTAGCTGAAGGGGTCCAATGGAGTAAATAGGAGGTAGCAAAGTGGAAAGGGCATCCACAACTTCTTGCTCCAAGGCATCAAATGTGTTCAAAATAATAGCAGAAGCCTTTTTGGATCGCTCTGTTTCAGACACCATATAATGCAGCATGATGTCGTTTGGGTCTGTGGTTCTAATAAAGCTAGGCATGTCCTTCAATCTGATATCCTTCATGCCTGGGATCCAATCAATCTCTGTATCCAAATACCCATTTGCAAAATCCTTGGCATCTGCAGATTAAATTAAGAAATCAATGGAACTAGTTAGCTAACACTCATAAGTCTTTTTTTTTCCCCTGAATGATTAATTGATAGTACCTTTAAAAGGAGTGAGGCCCTTCTCAATGAGACGGTAATACTGAACGTAGCCCATCAAGCCACAAGCACTAGTTGTCCAGAAAAGCACTTCTGGGATCCCGAAATGCTCTGCTGCATCAAGGGTGAAGCTGGTGACACCATCAGCAACAATACAAGTCACAGGAGGGGAATCGGGTGAAGAGTTGAGCTTGGTCAAAAGCGCCTTGAAGGGTGCCAAGCAGGTTTTACTAGTGGAATCACACACCAAAGGCAAGTTGCGCCTGGCATCGGCATCAGCCGGAGGGAGGCCGTCGGGAATGGTTTTGAATTGAAACGAAGGGAGGCCGTCGAGAGCGTGGGAACCTTGGGATTCAAGCATGCGCTTGTGGTTGAACTCTGTGTTCACAAAGGTTATGTGGAAGCCTTTGTAGTTGAGGAGCTTGGCTAATTGCAGCATAGGGTTTATGTGACCCTGAGCTGGGAAGGGTACAAAAACTGCATGTGGCTTCTCTTTGGAGGCAGCTGGACTCATTTTCTCTGTATGGTATCCTACACAAAAGAGCTAAAGAGAAATGGAGATGATGGGATGCTTAGAGAAGTGTAAGAACTTGAAGTTTTATAGTGGTGAAGGGTCAGGGGCTTCACTGTGCGGGCAAGTGTTTCTTGACCGTTGATGCATATTTCGGATTCCCTATCTGTTTTTTAAGATAAATTGAGTGCCAATCATTCCTCGTGTTATGATTATTATAATCGCAGAGATCGACCCTTCCAAATGAGTCCAAGGCCACGGTGTCCAGAACACATGCTCGCACAAAGACTGCCTGATTAGTGTGTTAGATTGGAGACATTGTTGCATGGGCAAGTGTGAAATGTGTGAAATGCGTGTAGACTCCAAAACGCACACAAGGTTCAGCCATAACAGAAGAGAAATGCTGGCCGGCAACTTTCATAATTTCTTTATGGGGCCATACGCTCTTATAAACTTTAAGATGTAGAAAGTCTTTAAAAAAAAAAAGAAAAAAAAAGGAGAAGTTTTAGAGAATAAATTACATTGGGAAAAAGAAAAAGAAAAAGAAGTTTCACACTCCTATTTTTTTCACTTACACTCGTGCAAAGATAACTAGCATTAAATGATTATTCAGTAATTTATAAAATAAAATAAAATAACAAACTATGCTCCTGTGTATCTAAGGTTACATTACATTATTTGTCGCTATTAATTATGGATGTTATTACTTTTTGGTTTAGTTTAATATTTTTGAATTTTTAAATTGTTGTTCATACTAGTTATATTGAAAAGAGGGAATAAAATACATGCACTTGGTTATGGAGACAAATATTCTTAGTCACTTCAGCCCCTTATAAAATTTCAAATTTGAGTAAACCATATCATTTTTCCTCGTGACCACCCTAGAATCTCATTAAATCTTTCTTTTTCCATTTGCCTATGCTAGTCACCAGTCATTAGAAATTCCTTGTGGCTAGATGTCGAAGAGTCTATGCCAATGCCCATTAGTTAGTTCCATTTGAAAGAACATGTGCGTTGTTTTATGCATTTACTTTTTATTTTATTTTATATAAGCGTTATTGAGGGGAGAGGAATTAAACTTAGGACATCGGGTGCAAGTGTAATTATTCTTAATCACTTGAGCTACAAGCAGGGGAGGAGCCATTAAAGGACTAGTGTGGTCCCATGCCCCCACAACATCTTTTATTTATTATATTATAGTATTATGTATGATGTATAATATTGAACATATTTGATTAGTTTAGGAGATATTTATCCTAAAATAAATAGTATATATTTTGTATTTTTTGTCTACAACCATAAAACTTCTTAATCTCTTTTTTACTTCTCTCTTTTACCTTCTAGATTAGTTTATGTATTTACACTAAAAATTCCTACATTTTTAACCTTTCTTTCTCTTTATCTTTTGTTTAAGTTAAACTTTGTGAATTTTTATTTCCCTCTCTTTTTTCATGTTTGAGTTGGGTATCTTAATATTAGATTTTGTGAACCCCTTTTGTATTTCTTCTCTATGTTAGAATATAAATTATTAATTTTTGAGTCTATAATATTTTAGATGATGAGATTAGTATTTAACCATTATAAAATATGAAATTGTGGACAATTATGATTGTAATGAATGGATATATTATTAATCAATATAAAAATGATGTTATGAAGTAGGCCAAAGCGAGTAGTTTAGTGTCATATTAATTTAGCACATACTTAAAAAATTGGGGGTTTCACTAAAATACTCAAAATGAGGGCTGAAATTATAAAAAAACCCAACACCCAAAACACTTTATAAACACACCCAAAAAATATACAATTGTTGATTTTGGGTGTGTTTCTATATTTAAATAGTGTTTGAGTTTTTTTATAAATACATGTCTAGGATTGGGTTTATTTATAAATTTGTATAAAAAATTTGTGAATAAGTTTTTCTAATTTGAAATCCTGATTCCGCCACTGACTACAAGCCCCTTGCACATTCACCTTTTTCATTTAAGTACGAAGAATGCCTTGTAATAAAAATGTAAAATGGAAACTGTTATTGACGCTTCGAAGAAGACATCATACATTAATTCATTGTAATTATCTCTTATGATTTTATAAGGGAGTAGTGCGTGAAATTTTTTTAGAGTTCCAATAACAGCTCTCAATAAAATTCATTAGAAAGAAGAATTGAAGTATGTTCAAACAGATTTCAACATAGACTAAACAATTTATCACTAACAACTTTTGTCAGCTTAATTCCATTTGTGTGTCAATTTCGTCCTTATTATCATCAATTCTGTTATCAGTAAACAATGCCCATATCAAACAGAGTGTTCAGTTAAGGAAAGTGACAATCGAGCTAATCTATGGGCCGCAATATTGCCTGACGAAACACCAAACCAGATCTTACAATCGCGATAAAAAGGAAAAGAAAGACCTGCTGTCTTCAATGAGAAAACCAACTTCAGATCTATTCTCACACCAAGTGAAAACATGAGGACAAGATTGACGAAATCGATGACACATTAACACTACAACACTGGGCGAAACTCGAGTTTCATTGTGTTGAAATGAGTGATACGAGTGTGCCTTAATGTAAGAAACATTGCACACCATCCAAAAAAATACTCAATAATTGTATTTTGGTCAAACAAAAAAGATAAGCAAATTACAACCCCCAAAAAAAAAAATTTCAGGAAATTCAGAAGACAAATTCTTCAGCTACACCACCCAAGAATTTTTCCTGGAAATAGAGTTTTGAAAGTGGTACCAAGGACAAGTTCATGTGACAAAATTAATACATTCTAATTTCTGGAAGATAGAAGCACCTTGTTAACCATTTGTTCCAAATCCAAAAAGGATGATCCATTTGGACCAGTAGTAGCCTCCTCTGCCAACTTCTTCCATTCCAAGGCTTTCTTCCTCATCTTTTTGCCCTCCTCTCCCTCCATCAACTTTTTCACCAACTCCTCCACATAATTTCTTATCACATCATCCCCTACCTCCAACCCTACGCCCCATTCTCTGCAGCTGTACCTACAATTGGTTGGCTGCTCTCCACAGAAGGACCAACAGATCAGAGGCACCCCACCGCACAAACTTTCCAGTGTAGAATTCCATCCACTGTGCGTCAAGAAACCTCCTACCGCTGGGTGGCTTAGGACTTGTTCTTGAGGGCACCAATGTGCCAATAGAGACCTGTCTTTCGTCTCTTCCAAAAACTCTACCGGAACCACAGCTGATTCTCCCCTGACAAGGTCTGGCCTAATCACCCATAGAAAGTTTTTTTGGCTATTTGCAAGTCCCCAAGCAAACTCAATCAGCTGCTCATTTGTGGTGACTGCAATGCTTCCAAAGTTGACATAAACCACAGAGTTGGGTTCTTTGGTGTCGAGCCATTGAAGACACTCTGGCTCCTCTATCCATAGGTTTGAAACAATCGACTTCAACTCGTTATCTGCTGGGATCTGTTTTAGTTGTAGGTTTAGCGGTCCAATGGAGTAAACAGGTGGAAGCAAAGTTGAAAGTGCGTCTATGACTTCATGTTCCAAGTCATGAAATGTGTTCAGAATGACGGCGGAAGCTTTCTTAGTTCTCTCTGTTTCACCCACCAGAAAATTCAGCATGATATCATCTGGCTCTGTGGTTCTCATGAAGGTTGGGAAGTCCTTCAAACGGATTTTCCTCATGCCTGGTACCCAATCTAGCTCAGTATTTAAATGCCCGTTTGTAAAACAACTGGCATCTGCAAATCAAATTAATAGAGTCTGTTATGTTTTGTTCAGAGGGAAAAACGGCAGTTTACTCTTAATCAGACAATTGATTGATTAATACCTTTAAAAGGAGTGAGACCTTTTTCTATGAGTTGATGAAACTGAACGTAGCCCATGAAACCACAAGCACTAGGTGTCCAGAAAAAAACTGCGGGAACACCAAGTTCCTGAGCTGCATCAAGAGTGAAACTCATAACACCATCAGCGATTACGCAGGTGACACGTGGCGAATCGGGCGAAGAATTGAGCTTGGAGAGAAGATCTCTGAAGTGAGGCAAGGAGTGTTTGCTAGTGGAATCACATAAGGATGGGATGGTATGTCTTGGGTGATATTGGCATCCGTTGGAGGCAGGCCATCCGGAATGTTTTCGAACCGAAAGGAAGGAAGGCCATCGAGAGAATTGGGGCCTCTGGATTTAAGAAGGCGTTTGTGGTTGAACTCTGTGTTCACAAAGGTTATGTGGAAGCCTTTGTAGTGGAGGAGTTTGGCTAATTGCATGAGAGGGTTTATGTGACCTTGAGATGGGAATGGCACGAAGACTGCATGTGGCTTCTCTGAGGTCAAGGCAATTGAACTCATCCTCTCTCCCCGTCTCTCCCAAATCAAACACAAACCAGGAAAATGGGATGCTAATCAATGACAAAGAGTACGTACCTGGGAGTTTTAAAGTGGTAAAAAGGTCAATGAGCTGTGCTACCAGGCAGGATAGGGAATTCCCGGCCATTAATAATGCACGTAGAACTCACATGAAATGATTACCTCCCACATTATATAAAAAATATAAAAAATCCACGTGTGTGTGCGTGTGTTTTTTTTTGGGTCTAAGATGCCTGATAAGTGCGCTCCTCAGTCTAAAGGATGTGTGAACTGTGTGAGAGCACATGTTGTGAACTGTGTGAGAGCACATGCCCACGCAGCAAGGCATATAGTACAAAATGTTCGGAAAAAAAAACACAAAAAAACAAAAAACTTGCCTGACCCTTCTACATCTCTTAATAATGTGCCATATTTAATTATTTTCTTACAAACTGTACTTATCATAGTTTGCTGGCCGGTAGTTATCATAATTCCTTTGAAAAGTTATCTAAATATATTTATGTAATTATATATATTTGTAGTGAGTTCGGATCTAATATGAGGTGAAATTGAAAAGACGTTGGCACACAAGATAAAAATATATATTAACTGGTGTTAGGTAATTTAAAAAGTTATCAGGGATTTAGTAATAGTTTATTTCAATTATTATGTTGGAAACTGAAATTTCTTGAGGTGAAATGTTCATAAAAAAATAAGAATATAACAAATATTTTATTAAAATAACTTTAGCACATTATTGGAGCTAAATGCCACACCTCTTCTACCCAAAAGTATCAGATCCCCACATGAATATGATTTTATTTATTGCCTTAACCATCAAACAATTTGGGTCCTACAAAAAATGAATGTACATGAGCATTTCTTGGAGGTTCGGCATATTCTTATATGGATTTGTTTATATTTTATATTTGCTGTCGAAACAAGAATCAGTACTATCTTATATGGATTTGTTTATAAAAATTCGCTCCTATTCAGTGTTTGTAGTTCTCGGATGTATGCTCCACCAACATATACTTATATGAATTTTTTGACAAAAGTGTCACTACTATCGTAAAGTGGATCAAGTTTAACATTAAATTTTAAGCCGACATTATGTGTTGACACTAAGTTTATATAGCAACTTTCTTTTGAGGCATTTCTCTAGTATTTGTGGCTCGTCAAAAAAGACAGGCTCAACGAGATTGCATCGCAAAAAAGTTTTCTTACTTTGTCTTGTTACGTGACGTGACTACAAGAACTCTTTACCTTTATGTAAAAGAAGGAAACAAACAAGTGAAAGCAACTCGTGCTTCACTTCACATTCATGCGTGGCCCAAAGGATGGATAGTTTCAAAAATTGGGAAATCTGAAGGGGATTGAAAGCAAGCCTCAGTAAGTTGTTCCATGGAGGGGCCAGTTTCAGTTAGGGGTGGACATTCAAACAGGAAAACTAGAATGCTAAATTTCTAAACCTATAACTCTACGTATAACGTATCAATATAGACACGAAATTTTATAGTAATGGTGCCATATATAAACCCAATTGTAATCTGATTATGTAGTTTTTATTGGTAAAATTGGATCTTAGGATACCCCAAAAACGTTGGGCCTATTTAGCAAACCATTGGGTTCCAATAGAATTTTTGTTTATTAATTTGCATGTACCCAATAAAATATAAGAGCAAATTACAAACAAAAACTTCAAGGAACCCAACACCCAAGCGTTGTTCTTTATCAAAAAGCTACCAAGAACAAAAAAATTAACACAATTGCTCCATTCTAATTTCTGGGAGATAGAAGCACCTTGTTAACCATTTGATCCAAATCCAAAAAGGATGATCCATTAGAACCAGTAGTAGCCTCCTTTGCCAACTTCTTCCATTCCGAGGCTTTCTTCCTCAATTTTTTGCCCTCCTCTCCTTCCATCAACTCTCTCACAAGGCCCTCTATGTAATATCTTTTAACATCACCCTCTATCTCCAACCCTATGCCCCATTCACTGCAACAAAACCTGCAATTGGTTTGTTGGTCAGCATTGAAAGGCCAGCAGATCATGGGCACCCCACCTCCCACACTTTCAATAGTAGAGTTCCATCCATTGTGTGTCAAGAACCCTCCGATAGCCGGGTGGCTCAAGACTTGTTCTTGAGGGCACCAACTTGCCAATAGACCTCTTTCCTTGGTCTCTTCCACAAACTCTGGTGCAACCACAACTGATTTCCCCTCACCAACAAGATCAGGCCTAATGACCCAAAAAAAGGCCTTCTTGCTATTTGCAAGCCCCCAAGCAAACTCAGTTAGCTGCTCAGATGTCATGACTGTGCTGCTTCCAAAATTGACATAAACAACAGAATTGGGTTCTTTAGAGTCAAGCCATTGAAGACACTCTGTTTCCTCTGTCCACAGGTTTGATCCAATGGACTTCAATTCGTTATCTGCTGGGATATGATCAAGTTGTAGATAGAGGGGTCCAATGCAGTAAATAGGTGGTAGCAAAGTCGTAAGTGCATCTAAAACTTCATGCTCTAAGGCATCAAACGTGTTCAAAATAATGGCAGAAGCTCTTTTAGATCGTTCTGTATCAACCATAATTAAATCCATAATCAGGTCATTTGGGTCTGTTGTTCTAATGAAGCTTGGGATGTCCTTCAATCGGATACTTTTCATTCCAGGTATCCAATCTATCACAGTATCTAAATACCCATTTGTCAAGTAACTGGCATCTGCAAATCAAATTAAGAAAGAAAAAAAAAAACTAGTGAGTTAATTGATAAAATTCTATGTGAAACATCAAGCACAAGTTTTTCTTTTTCAAAACTAAAAACAGAAACAATTTACAGTTGGGATTTTATCTGCATAATCATTTTTTGTTAATTGTTACCTTTAAGAGGAACTAAACCCTTTTGAATGAGAGGTCCATACTGAATGTAGCCCATGAAGGCACAAGCACTGGTTGTCCAGAAAATAACACCCGGAATTCCGAGTTCTTGGGCTGCATCGAGACTGAAGTTCATGATGCCATCAGAAACTACACAAGTAACCGGAGGTGAATTCGGCGAACAGTTGAGCTTCGAAAGAAGGCCTCTGAAGGGCTGTAAGCAGTGTTTCCTAATGGATTGGCAGAGGGACGGCATATGTTGGGCAGCAACATTAGCATCAGCTGGAGGCAGGCCATCGGGGATCATTTCGAAACGAAAAGTAGGGAGGCCATTGAGAGAGTTGGGGCCTTGGGATTTAAGTAGGCGTTTGTGGATAAACTCAGTGTTGACAAAGGTTATATGGAAGCCTTTGAAGTGGAGGAGTTTGGCTAGTTTCAGCATTGGGTTTATGTGGCCTTGAGCTGGGAATGGCATGCATACTGCATGTGGCTTCTCTGAGGTCAAGGCATTGAAAAAAGCCATTAACAGATTTGCCTACTTAGGCCAACAGAGCAAATTTATGATGACTAGAAAAGATAAAATTGAGTTCAAGCAGTGGGGGAGAGTGAGAAATGGATTATGGCTACAATAATAGGTTAAGAGTTTGATTCCACTCAAGGAAAAGAACAAAAATCTGGTCTCTCATCATTGGCTCATGTGGTGCCCTCTGAGAAAGTAGTGGTGAGCGGATTGGAAGATACTTTGCTATGTTGGGATAGGGGCATTTTATTGATGCTGAAATATGAAGTCTATTATATAAAATCACAACGTCATATATGCAAAATATCCGTTGGAGAATTTCCAAACCAAACATACATAACTGAATAAGCATGACTGCGTTTAGTCAGAATATCTGCGACTTGATTAGATTCCCGATAAGCATGTTATATCGAAACTTGTCAAATATCTTGAAATTTTTAATTTAATGAATTGTTGAAGAGTTATGGTAGAAACGAATTTTGAAATTGGGAAATTTTTTGTGCCATTCTCATATTAAAAAATTATTTGCCGGCGAAAATAAAATTTGGGTAACTGGAAAATGTAATTTATCCCCATAAAATTACCACTATTTGCCCAACTATTGACATAAGCTACCATTTTCATTTCAAAGCCCTTCCCTCCTTTTTTCTGCCGTTAGTAATCGGAAACACTGTTAAACATCCCCAAAGATTTCATCCGAAAGAAAAGAAATTAGAAACTAAAACATATTAAAGAGGCTGTAGGTACGTTGCTAAGACTACTTGTTTTATTTCTATCAGAAATGCAGTTTTCTTGTGAAGCAGACATTGCAGACTGGAAGTAGCATTGCTAAGACTGCGCTGAACAAGGTCTCTTTAAGGTTAAACGTTTTTCTGTTGGTAAGTACTTTGGTATAAAGTGTATTTTTGATAGTGTTGATCTTCACGATAGGTAGCTCTAAGGGTTGGCTGTTTATGTTTGCACGTGAACTGTTCGTTAAAATGCCTGTAAGGGATTCCCCTTTAACTTTTTTATAAATGTGGTGCCTCTGTTTCCATGTCTTTCACTTGCATGAAGCAGTTTGGCTATTTGCAGCACTCTCTCTCTCTCTCTCTCTCTCTCTCTCTCTCTCTCTCTCTAACACTGTTCATGGGTGCAATGCAAGTTTGTCAGTATATAATTTTGCCATAATCTTGGGACGGCAGTCGAGAGTATATACTATACTTGGGTCTGGCATGCACTAAAGTTTCTTTGTTTGTTTATTTGTTTTGACAGTATGTGTTCTCCATGAAGAGTTTTGAGGTTTGTTTATTTGTTTGCACGTTCTCGCTCCTTTCATAATTTTTAATAAAATATTTGCATACTTATATTATCAAAAGAACTCATTTGATCAATCGATATAGAGCGAAGGGAGGGGGGAAAATCGAACGGCAAACATCTCCTGCCTAATTTGAAAGAGTTGAGATAGCTCAGCTCTATAGAGAAAAGAACATGGATGCAGCCAAATCGAGCTCCCCTTTGATGAGGGGAAAAAGAACATAATCTTAGGTATATTAACCCAGGAAGGCACATTTATGAAATTCAATGCAGGAATTTAGGCGGGCTAGTGTAAGTGAGTTTGAATAACATGGTTGTCAATCTCTTTAGGTATTTTAGGTATAGTAACAAAGGGCTTTTTTTTCACACATAACCCATCAATTATTTCCAGATCAACAACGTGGCCATGAAACTTATGTATCGTGCATCAATGTGGTAACTGATGTCAATTACGTTTGCCCTAGACTTCATTTTACGTTGGACCAATCTTAATTAAGACCTGAAAACTGGTTTCATGATAGAAGTATTATTAAGCTCAATAGGTATACTTGTTGGACAAATACAAAGTAACAGCTAGATAGATTTTGCATCAATTCTAAATTTCTAATTCCTCGGAGATAGAAGCACCTGGTTAACCAATTTGTCCAAACCCACAAAAGATAACCCATTTGGACCAATGGTGGCCTCCTTTGCCAACTTCTTCCATTCCAAGGCTTTCTTCCTCATCTCTTTGCCCTCCTCTCCCTCCATTAACTTTCTCACAAGCCCCTCTACGTAATTTCTTTTAACATCACCCTCTATCTCCATGCCTATGCCCCACTCTTTGCAACAGAACCTACAATTGGTTTGTTGCTCTGCAAAGAAGGGCCAACAGATCATGGGCACTCCACCACACAAACTCTCAAGAGTAGAGTTCCAACCACTGTGTGTCAAGAACCCTCCTACGGCTGGGTGGCTCAGAACTTGTTCTTGAGGGCACCAACTTGCCAATAGACCCCTTTCCTTGGTCTCTTCCACAAACTCTGGTGCAACCACAACTGATTTCCCCTCACCAACAAGATCAGGCCTAATGACCCAAAAAAAGGCCTTCTTGCTATTTGCAAGCCCCCAAGCAAACTCAGTTAGCTGCTCAGATGTCATGACTGTGCTGCTTCCAAAATTGACATAAACAACAGAATTGGGTTCTTTAGAGTCAAGCCATTGAAGACACTCTGTTTCCTCTGTCCACAGGTTTGATCCAATGGACTTCAA